AGTAAGGCCAGGAGCCCCTAGTAGCGTCCTTGCTCCTAGTAGTAAGGAGCAGGAGCCCCTAGTAGCGTCCTTGCTCCTAGTAGTAAGGCCAGGAGCCCCTAGTAGCTTCTTGCATCACTTCAGCCAGCGTCAGGCTTTTTGCCCCCTAACATCCCTTAAGATTGATTTTCAACAAAAGGTCAGTAAGTTGGCCCAATAGAGGCCATACTTACAGGCTCAAAAAACTTGATCTCCTCGGCTTTCAGGTAGATCTTCGCCAGGGTCTGCAGCAAATCATTTTCCCAACCTCAAGCTTGGTAAGTTGCGGTTATTCTTTTTGAACATCTTTACTTCACAGTGGACACAACTGCTCCTGTTGGTTTGAAACCTCTCCAGTCAAAGGGACCCAAAAACGGAACATCTCATTTCAGCCCATTGTCCCAGTACAGATCAAGTCAAAAAGAGTCTTTCTCCGCTGATTTCTCCATGGCACATTTCAGAAGCCGCGTCGAGCTGCGCTTCCGGATCTTCCGGAGCCTTGACTGCCACGTTGCACGTGCCGTGCCACGCTCGCTGTGCTGTTCTACGGGTCAGGGGGTTTGTGCGACTGGTGCAAAAACTGGCGAAGAACCAACCAGTATAGAAATGGTCCAGTTCGATTATATCAAAGGACATAGCCAAATACAATATAAATGTGGGTGCGTCGTCGCTTTTCCTTTTTCTTGCACTTCATTGGACAGACTCAAGAAAAGCAAACCATGACATTTGTAGCAGCGCAATTTACGATGCAGAAAGAAAGAATGCTGCTTGAAGTTGGTCTCTCTCAGGGTTTCTTGTTTAGATGGGTGATCTCTCCAACCTCGAAGGACAAGGACATAAAATCTAAAACAAGCCAATGGGAATGCTCTTAAGCTCAATATAGGAATGCATGTTGACTGGTTTAGAAGCTTGGCCAAAGGTACAGGCTGCAAACCTGATCTTCCAATATTCAACCTTCCGCAGGCCCACACTTTGGCTTGCTTGCGGATATCCTACATCCTCTAAATGGATCAGAGAGTTCGTGCAATGCTCTGTTGGCATCTGTTGGCAGGTATTCTGTTTGGTACACCAACCTGATAAGCCGCATCCAAGCCAACTCTCCCATTCACATGCAAGTTAGGAGTGCCTGCACCAATAGCACCTATATAGCAGCAAACTGCCACGCTACTTTCCTCCAAACCTAAACCTGATAACTCTAACATACTTTACCAAGTTATGCTCTTTTCAAACAAGCAAACCTCCCAGAAGCTCCCACAAATGATGGACTCTCAACACACAGAGACACACCCCCCAAAACCCTTCATCTATAGCAGTTTTTGTAAGGCCCATCCTGGGTCCTTCGCATCTTTCACCGTGACCACAAAGGCTAAGCGGCCCAGTTCGTCCAAATGAAGCACCCATCCGGGCCCATCCAGGCTTCGACCCCTTCGACCCCTTCGACCAATAAATCGATGGACATCGCCCAGGGCCCGTCGCACGTCTCTTCGCCCAGGGCACGTCTCTTCGGCCACATCCGCGGCCTCCTGAAGTCGGTCGGAGTTCACGTAGACTGAGACGATGGAGGATTGCCTGGGATGTCGGCGCGGACCTCGTGGAGGCCTGGTGGGTGGCGCAAGCCTCAAGCAAGGTGAAACAGTGAAACATGTCTTTTGAGTTCAGGCAGGGGCAGTCGTTCTGTGGATTTTGATAACAAGTCACGTCTATGAGTGATGAGTTTTCTGAGCTATGGACGCTGTTTCCGACCGGTCGCATGACGGGTAGTGTAAGAATACTCACAATATTGGTGTATGCTTCCATGCACTCATGCAAGCTTTTGACTATAGCAAACATCTTGCCAGTTCCCACCCTCAAAAAGCAGCCGCCACCTTGTTCGATTGACAAGCACCATCTCAAAACCATCCCTCAAACCATCGCTAACCGGTAAATCTCCAACCATTGCGTTAAAGGTGAGAAGTTCAACGGAAAAAGCACAGTAGCTCTAAAAGCCCACATTCAGCTGCGGCATCTTTTGCCGGACAAGGAAGGCACTTAAAAGGCACAAACGCCAGGCCAAGGGGCGCTACGACTTCGCTTTCAAAATCAGCATTCTTCTGGAAGACCTCCAGCCTCTCTTTCGACAGCTTCAGTGCCTCCAAGAATGGGAGAGAAAAGCGACCGAGGGGTTTACACCCCAACTCGAAAGAGAGGTCTGAGGTCCTTTCTATTCTTGGTGATCATGTATGTGCTTGAATTCTGCAGGAAAGAATCAGTGAAAGGAACAGGGTCCTGTTGAATCTTTCGGGCCAAGAGCATTCTCAAGTTGTCAAGTGTCTGAAGAAAGGCTGGTGGCTGGTTGGTGTGTTGAGGGCTTTGCGCAGCATGATCAGATCAGGGCAGGGGCAACGACCAAAAACTCACTTCTCATATCTTCTCACACACCACTGGACACTGATTCAAGATTTCAAAACGCAGATTGCACAACTCAGCTCCGTTTTGAACAGGGCTCCTAGTACTTCCACTTCTTGGTTCATTACAACCTCAACCAAGTGATGAGGTTCAACCGTTCGAATTCTTTCATGCTTCTTCATGCTTCTTCATGGAGTCAGATTCCTCTCTTGATGCATTGATGCTTTTCCGCACTCACCCATTCCTGTTGATGGCCTTCTTTCCGGCTCAAGGACTCATCCCCTCCGTCGGCCTCTTCGGTCATTCCCATGGTCAGATATGCGTTGGACGCGTGGATCAGCGCCGCCGCCGACCGCGACGGCATGCGAACGTCGGCCGTCTCCTGCGCCTCGCGTAGCGCCTGTTCAGGCGTTCCGAGCAGGGGCAGTGCATAAGGTGTCGATCAACCTGGTGGAGCTTCATCCCTTTCTCCATATCATCAGTCAGCTAGAAAAGGACTTCCACACCATCTTCCTCCACTTGCGCTTTCAGCATCTCTAGTCACCCAAACCTGTCTTCTGCTGAAATGGCTAGGTTGCCATCTATTGCAGTAGATGTTTTTGGTCTCGGGCATGAAGCATAGTTGATCATCTTGCATCAGCTAACTAACGCACAGTAAGCTCCGACTTCGACTTCTCCCAAGGCGGCAGCTGCCAGCCAAGGCACCTTCTGCTCCAAGGCTGCTTGCGCTGCCTCTAAAGCCTGACAAAGACATGGATGCAAAACAGAATAAAACCAGCGTCTGTGTATGTGTGTGTGTGTGTTTGTATGTGTGTGTGTGTGTGGCATGGGCAAGAAGACCCTATCGATTCCATGTCTTCCATTGATCACCCCACCAAAAGAACGACTCAGGAGATTCATTCATTGTTGTCTACTGACTACTGACTATTAGGGCTTTGAACGATTTGCCTGAGCCCTGTTCAGCAAAGTAGTACCTGTTTCATCTGCTCCGACCTCCACAATCCCCCCCCCGCTCACCCCACAGCCCCCGGCTGCCCATTGACGCCTCCTCAGGCCGATGGCGTGCCAGCTCCCATTCGCTGACACACTCCTGCTGGAAAGCCTGGGCCGCCCACGCTCCCCACGAGCACGTTCTCCCCCGGAACCTCACTCCGTCCACTCGGCACCTCGAGGCGTCGATAGCCCAGGTCTCGCCAGTAGGAGACCAGCTCCCGCGAGCGCGCCACCGCCTCGTCCACCTCATTTTGGAAGGAGAGCGCCACCTGAGGACCACTGCCGTGGCCAAAATGGAACGACGTGACAATGTAGATCCTGATTCCGTAGATTTGGGGCGCACGGTGTACCCAAAAAAAGTTGCCAAATGCAAGGGCGACTCTTGGGTCTTTAACCCCACTATTTCAGAACGAGTCATGAGACCCTTTTCGTGATCCAAGGCTTACAAGGCAAACAATTTCGGAGTCCCCCTGGCGTCATCTGCAGTCTGCCCCATGAGCCGTCTGCATCTGTCCGCAAGACTCATGTGACTCATGAGGGCGCCGTGAAGAGTTCACCACAGAGCAAAGCCCAAGGAGCAGCAATGGTATGCAAGGCCTTCCCTTCACCTGCCAAGGTTGCTGCCATGCACGGCGAGCAAACGAACAAAACCCAGTGACGATGTGATAAATGAGTTCAATCCACAGAATCTACAGCTACAAAAGCTACATACATTAGCTGGCTAGTCACAAGTCATCAAAGGACTTGTACCCGCAAGTCTTTGCTCATCCCCCTGGGAACATGGCTGCGTGCTGCAACCCTCCTTGCTCACCCGCTGGTTTCTACTCAACTGCAGAATGTCTTTGCTGATCCTGAGATCTGAATCTACTCTCTACTCCAGGATGGCACCGATTCTCCAAAACGGGTAGAGAGAGAGAGAGGTTCCCCGATCTGTCCAAGCTACGCAACAAAGACCTGCTACAGCTCTGTCCAATCGTCCATCGTCGTGTCAACGAGCCCTGATTCCCGCGAAGCTCACCCCATACTGAGCAAGGAAGTCCAGTTTCCCGGTTTCCCCGTGCAGTGCCATGCCTGTTGCATCCCCAAAAGCCTTCTCGGCAAGGTCTCTTCCTACTCTCTCACTGTCCAGTGCTCTGTGCACATTTCTTCCAACATAGAAATACAAAGCCTAAGCAAAAAACTTCCTTCCCAACTTCCCCTCCTGTTTCGTCCCCATCTCAGGTCTTCTCCCTCCTTCCTCTGCTCGCGCCTACCCGGTCGCCCACCGCGCGCAGCAGCTCTTCTGCTTGGCTGGCAGCGTCCAAGGCGCGGTCCAGTTCTTCTGGGATCTCACTCTTGGTGCCTCAGGCTGCTGTTCTACAACAGCTGCGGCGTGAGTTTTCTGTTTGAAGGAACTAAAGCATGGGCCATGTTTGGCCTGTGAATAGTGGGAAGTTCTTTAGGACTCAGTCCATCTCTATTCTGTGTGCCCACAAAGTCAGTCACAGTCCCTCAGTCTCTTTTGGGGGGGTTCCAGTTGGAATCCTTCCAAGTAACGCCCAACGCCAACCCCGGTTCGGCGGCGAAAAGAAGGATTCTGTTGAGGTACCTGGAGGTACCTGCTTCTGAGATCTATGGTTGGAAGATAGAATGTAGTGCACCTATGTTGAGGTACGATCTACTGGTGGTCGGCTTGGAAGATCCTTCATTCGAGACCACTGACACCGCAGTTTTGTGGCCCACTGTCACTCATCTTGCGCAGATGCCTCTTTGCACGTGCGTATGAGCCAGCGCGACCAAGGCCCACCCCTGGCACAAAGGTCCAATTTGATCGGAAGCCAGTGAAGCGGGATGATGGACATGATAGGGGTTGCTCTAAGATTCTGGGGATAACCCTTGTGATCACTCCAACTTGCAGGTCAGTGTCACTTGGCAAACTCGTTCTTAACCGAAAAGCGCAAGTGCCCGCCCGAGACATCAGTAGAAACCTGCTATTCCAACTCTTTTGGTTTAGAGCCATGGCTGTGTGTCTGACATGGTGTCTGCTTGATGTAATTTTATGTAGATGATCTCGGGGATTGATTTCATCGACATGGCAGTGGAATTGGTGCAAAAGTGCAAAACCTAGCAAGGTGGTTTGATGGCTCGTCCAACTTATGCAAGTTCTGCAAACGGACCCCCAAACCACTGCTTTGATCTGTTGCAAAACAGGTTTTTGGCTGGTCCATGTTCAAGTTCCAAATTGACCTTTGGGGGATCAACTTCAGCTTGTTTGAGTCGCTGCTCTACGGCGAGAGAGTAACAGATCCAGCAGCTGATGGCACGCCTGGAAGACCAAGTTGCCTAGGCCAATTCCATCATGCCCAGTAAAGGAAATGTGACGTCGTGGAACTTGAAAGTCCTCTCTGCAAAATGCCCATGAATTCTCAAGGCCTTTCAACCACGGAACCACGCCCAGTCAACCACCGGCGACCCGCCTCCATCCGTTGTTCCCCAAGGCTGCGGAAGGCTTCGACGGCCTCCAGCGCGGCCTTCAGCGCCTCCTGGTGAGCTTCCGTCTCGGTCTCCCATCCCTCCAATGGTCCAAGGTTCACGCCATTTTGTCCAAAGCCCCGCCTCTCTACTTGTATAAGTAGGCGCCTACTTGATTAAGGGAGTAAGCTCCTAGCTACTTGAGCTACTACCTACTGGACGCAGGATAGCTCACGCTTCTTCAAGGAAGCTCCCCCCCTTGAGGGTAGGGGGAGCGTCCTTCTAGCGCCTAGATGTTTAGGGAAACTTAACGGATAACGCTCTGGTCCACTCTGGTTGATGTTCTAAACGAGGCCAAAAGAGGTCCAAAAGTCCCAAATCCAAGGCAGAGGACCTAATGTTCTATGCCTTTAAGCCTGGCCTTCCAACAGAGTGGAGATCATATCATTCTCCATTTGGGGATCACTTGGTGAATGCTCGAGAAATGTTAGTCCATCATCAGATCTTCCTGCTCGAACCAAAATGTTGAATCCTGCAGAGGAGTATATGTGCTGGATCGAAGGACCACCACACAGGGGAGCGGTCCTATTGCTTTTGAGACCCACCTACTACAACATCACATCCAGCACCACCTGCCAATGCAGATTCTGAATCCCTGCTTGGCACCCTGATACCCATCAAAGATGGCTTGTTCGAGGTGCTCTGTTGGGAGTTCAGACCAACCAGGCCACCGAGAGCCCGGCTTCCGCGCGGGGCCCGGAAGCGCCCCGCCGGCCGCCGCCTCGCGACGCTTGCTGCCGCATCGGGAGTTGGCAATCTCGGCAAAGGCTAAGGTCAAAACGGCCTGAAGAGCAGCCCGACGAAATGATCTATCCCCATCACGATGCATTTTAAAAAGATCCGCCGACCCCTGCTTAGCCCTTGCCTAAGCGGGGCGGCGCCAGGGACACCGGAGGGTGGCAGTGCAAACGAAAGCCCCAGCATGCCACGTTAAGCAGCCACCCCCGCCTTCAAAGCCCTACTGCGTCGGCATCACTCCTGCACTGGCCAAACAAAGGCCGCAGCTTGGCTCAGAAAGCTTTTTCTCTGGGCTTCCGAAGGCGACGTTAGACACCCACGGGCCCCGCCCTCAAACGCTCCTCGGCAGCCGGCAGGCCTGCCGCGGCCTCTCTGTGGCCTGTCCGAAGCCTGCCTCTTCTCTTCGCCCACGGGCCCCGCCCGCAAACGTTCCTGCAGGCCGC